CCCCCCCCTTTTTTTTTTTTTTTCTCTTGTCCTACGTGACCATTCTAAGTTTTTGGCTTTTGTTAACATCTGTTATTTCCGTTTAGAAAATCATTTCCAATGTAGGAATTAAAAACTTTCCCTAGGAGTATCAATGGCCATATCCCTGGAACGGTGGAACAATCCTTGGTAGCTGGAACATATTAATTTTAAAACACCAAACTGATGTTCATATACTATTTAGTGATTCTTAGGGTGTAAGAGACCAATTTTATTCCTTCTTCAGTCTGATATGTGTTTTAAAGTCTGGCCCATAACTGTGCAAGCAAATAAATGCTTCTCACTTATCAGTCAGTTGGATGACCTTGGACAAATTATTACCAAACTCATTATGTTCCCTAGGCTGCCCTTGAACTCTTGGGCTCAAATGATCCTCCTGCCTCAGCTTCCTAATTAGCCAGCACTACAGGTACACAATACCATGACTGGATGGACTTCTTTTGACACTGTTTCCCTACTTGTAAAATCAGAATACTATTAAAATCCACTGCATAGCATTATAGTTAACATTGAGTTGACAGCTCAATGTGATGTTGGGAGGAGAACATGGCCTGGATGGGTCTAGATCCCTCCCTACTCCCTCCCCCCCCCCGTTTCCCGCTGCCATACCATTAGCTGTTTCTTTTCTGCTGCCCCTCTGCTCTGCCACGCCCCTGTGCCATGCTGCCTTGCTCCGGAGCCAACTGGACGGAAACCTCTACAAACTATAAGCCAAATTAAACCTTTCTTCCTTTAATTTGAGGGTGTTAGATAGTGTATCTCAGTAAAAAGTAACTAAGACGCTATATATAATACAATCATACACTATATAATGAATGATATTTCATTGAATGATGGACTAAATATACAATGGTGATACCAAAAGATAACGGAGCTGAAAAATTGCTGTCACTCAATGACACAGTGCCATCCTGATATCATATCCTAAGGTATTATTCAAGTTTGTGGTGAAGTTGGTGTAAATACACCTACTGCTGTCAGTTGCATCAAAGTATAGTATATACAATTATGCATAGTGCATAATAGTGCATACTTGATAATGATCCTAAGCAACTATGTTACTGCTGTGTGCCATTTCTTACACTACACTTTTTAATTGTTATTTTAGAGTGTACACCTTCTGCTTATGAAATTTACTATAAACAGTATGCCATATTCCTTCCACAGCAACCTCAACCATCTCATTTTAGCCACATCTCTTGACTACATCAAGAGGCCACACAGATGGATCAAAGATCTAAATGCTAAAACAGAAACATTTAATCTGCTGGACGGTAAAATAGGTAAAACTCTTGAAGACATAGTGTAGGCAAGGTCTTTCTGAACAGAACCCCAGTGGCACAAGAAATAATATCAAGACTCAATAAATGGGATCATATCAAATTTTAAAACTTCTGCACAGCAAAAAAAATAACTAAAAGAGTTAAAAGAAAACCTACAGAATGGAAAATTTTTTCCAGGTATTTTTCAGAAAGAGGACTAACATCTACAATATATAAAGAATTCAAAATAATTAGACTCCCCCAAGTAAATGACCCAATCAAAAAATGGACAACTGAAAGGAATAGACATTTCTCAGAAGTACATAGATATCTACACAATATTCCAGCCAACAACAAAAGAATATACATTCCTTTCAGCAGTACATGAAACTTTCTCCAAAACAGACCACATATTAGCCAATAAATCAACATTAAGTAAATGTTAAAGAATTGAAATTATACCATGCATATTATCAGACCATAGTACAATGAAGTTAGAAATCAATGACAAAAGAAAACACAGAAATTATGCAAATGCATGGAAACTAAACAATGCATTCTTAACTAAACAATGGATTACAGAAGAAATTGAGGAAATAAGACAATTTCTCGAACTAAATGATAATGTGAGTACAATATACCAGAATTTATGGGACATAATGAAAGCAGTCCTGAAAGGGAAGTTTATAGCTATAAATGTCCACATCTCAATAACAGAGCAAGCCCAAAAAAATCTAATGATGTACCTCAAGGTTCTAGAAAAACAATAACACCCTGAACCCAAAGCTAATACAAGAAAAGGAAATTATAAAGATCAGAGCAGAAATCAATGAAGTTGAGATTTTTTGAAATGCAAAGAATTAATGAATCTAAAATCTGGTTTTAAAAAAGTAAATAGACAAACCTTAGGCCAAACTAACCAGAAAAGGAGAAAAAAGACCAAAATTAGAAATAAAGAAAAGTGAAATTACAGCACACATTGTTGAAATTTAAAAACATTATTAACAACTATTTCACAATCCTGTATGTCAATAAACTGGAGAATCCAGAAGAAAAAGATACATTTCTAGATACATATGAATTACCAAAATTGAACAAAGAGATTTAAAAACTCTGTATAATCCAATAATAGGCCATGAAGTTGAAGAAGAAATTTTAGAAACCTATTAACTAGGAAAATTCCAGGTCCAGATGTGTTCACTGCTGAGTTCTACAAAAACTTCAGGGAAGTTTTAACACCAATACTTCTCAAAGTTTTTAATTAAATTGAAATGGAAGGAGTACTCTCAAATTCATCCCTAGGAGCTACCCTTACCTTGATTCCAAAACTAGACAGGGATTCAACCAAAAAAAAGAAAACTACAGACTAAACTCTTTAAAAATATGAATGCAAAAATCCTCAACAAGATACTGGCAAAAAGAATGCAGAAAATCATCAAAAACATCATATGTCATGACAAATTAGGCTTCATCCCAGGGATGCAGGGAAGGTTCAATGTATTCAAATCAACAAATGTAATACATCACATAAACAGAATCAAGACAAAGATCACATGATGCTAGGCTGGGGATGTAGCTCAATGGCACCATGCCTGCCTGGCAAGCGCAAAGTGCTGAGCTGTCCCTCCCCAGTACTGGAGGGGGAGAAGGATCACATCATCGTTTCAATAGATAAGGAAAAACCTTTGACAAAATTTAATATCTTTTCATAAAAACACTGAAAAAAATAAGTATAGAAGGATATTATCTCAGTCTGATAAAAGCCATTTATGACAAACCTACTGCCAATATCATATTAAATGGAAGAAAAACTGAAAGCTTTTCCTCTAAAATCAGGAAGAAGACAAGGATGTCCACTACCATAACTCCCATTCATCATAGTACTTGAACCATTAGCAGTCACAATTAAGCAAGAAAAAGAAATAAAAGGTATATAGAAAAGGAAGAAAATTATTATTATTTGCAGATGACATGATCCTCTACATAGAAGACCCAAAAAATTCACCAAAAGACTCTTAGAATTAATAATCAAATTCAGTAATGAGCAGGTTACAAAATGAACACATAAAAGTCAATAGCATTCCTCTATGTTAATGAACCTATAGAAAAAGAAACTAGGAAAAAATATCAATCACAATAGCACCAAAAATTAAATATTTAAGAATT